ATTGGTCGTTTCTCACGCCATGTGCATTTGCTTTGCAGGAAGTGCGTGTTAGGGAGGTGGAGATGTGGAGTGGCATGCAACGAATTGATTTAGGGCTTAGACTCATTGACCATCTGAGGAAGCTGATCTTTTGCGCGCTTCAGCGATCGAGAGACGGTTAGAGGCGATCGGTGCATTGCAATATATAGGATGTGCGTGCTGGAAGCTGCCTTGTTTCGTCGTGATTGATGCAGCTGATTTGTGGAATCACATTGTCGTCTGTGCATTAGGCATTTTGGATTTGCGCAGAATGCGTGTGATGGACTGTGTTGGGTCGTTTTCCAACATTGCGCAGAGGGAAGCCTGTTTCGTGGGAGTCAGGCCTCGGAATGAATGTTCCAGTTAGATGCGCCGGATGCACTGGTTATTTGTAGGAAGTGCGTGTTAGCTGTTGGCTTGTAGTGATTGATGAAGCTGAGTCAGGGACACTGTTGATGTGCACGCTGCGAGTGTGATGCGCATGTAGCACCGGAGAGGCAAGGCTTCGTAGGGACAAACAGCTCACACGTTGGGCGAGACACTGCTACATTTAGTGAGGGTTAAGGGACTGCGCGGTTCATCGTTGTTATTTGTGTGAAGGGGAATTCTCGGTTAAGCTGACTGTCTTGCGGGATGTGCTTTTGGTTTATAGGGAGTGCGTGTTGGATATTGAGCTGTGGAGTGGCTTGGGAGCAATTTATTAAGGGCTTCGGCTCATTGACCAGCTGAGGAAGCTGGTAGTCTATAGTGGGTAGTTCCAGTTCATTGACCACATGAGGAAGCTGGTAGTCTGTAACGGGTAGTTCCTGTTCAAGCGGGAATGGTGGGGCACAGAGCGTAAGTGGCGGTTTGATCTGTAGTGGTGTTTATTGCATAGTTCGTCTGCCGATGGCGTTGCAACTCCGCTTTGAGGGTCTATGAATTTGTGAGTGTTTGTGGATTGCGTGGGAGTGTGCTTTGTGTGTCCGTTCGTCAAGCGGTATCGTGGTGAGGACTGTTTGCGCAGTGGGACGAGGACGTCCGAGGGAATCGGCTGTAGGCGGTCGCTGAGTTGCGATGTGCAGGGAGTGCGTCTTCGAAGTGGAAGTTCTAGAATCTCGTAGTGGTCGCGCGTTCGCATTGTTAACCATGCACTAGCTATTTTGTCTTTATGCAAAATGCGTGTGATGAGCTGTGTTGGATCGTCTTTCACTATTGCGCAGAGCACTGTCTGTTTCGTGGAGGTTGGACGTCGGAATGATTGTTCCGGTTAGATGCGCCGGTTACCTTGATTATTTGCAGGAAGTACGTGTTGCAGTTGTAGTTGCTGTATCTCAAG